GGGGTCCTCAGTTTGCCTCAATGGAATGTGATTGTTTCATGTGTGTCTCAATAGTGTAAGTGGGTCCGTTGTAAGACAGAGATCCTACAACCCAATCTCACTCCGTTCTAGCTGCCGAGTATTGTATGCGTTTTATCACTCTCTTAGCGATAGCTACTCTACGGAGCCTGTTTCCTTTCGTTAGCCTTAGCCTAGTCTTGCCTTGTCTGTTTCCTCGTCTTCTGATTATTGCCTGTGTACTTCGGATTACCTCTCTCGTCTTGCCCTGTTCGGATACTGTTTGCCCCTGCCTGGACCTTTGCATTGAAATTGGATAACCCCTCGTGTCAAGCCCTCTGGATATTGTTAGCCGCTTATCGACCACGCCCGTTTTGGATTACTCTTCTGTCTTGCCCTCATTATACCTGTTTGCCATTGTTCGACCCTTGCCCTCATTATACCTGTTTGCCCTTGTTCGACCCTGCCTGTGTTTCTGACCTCTCTGCTTGAATTAAAGCTTGCACATGGATCCGCACGTCTCACGTCTTGTCAGCCCCGTTACACTATCAGTATCAATGGTGATGAGAATTGGTGTTACTGTATGTCTGGAAGTGTTTTAATTCTATCTGTGACAGAAAATGAACCGGTTTACTTGAAAATTGTTCTTGTACTATTTTTCCTTTAAATAAATGCCACTTTGTGTGATTTTTTTTTTTTTATCTGATGAAATAATAATTGTAATAAAAATAATAATAAATAAACATTACATAAAGAATATTGTATAATGTATTTTAAGTTTGGGATCAGTAAGATTTCACCTTTTATCCATTTAACACTTCCTTGCTGAATAAAATTATTAATTTCTTTAAAAAAAAAGAAAAGAAAGAGAAAATTACTGACCCAAACTTCTGAATAGTAGTGTATATTGTAAGAACATTTCTATTTTCAATAAATATTGTTCTTTTTAACTTTTTATTTATCAAAGAATCCTGAAAAAAATTATCACAGGTCCCAAAAAATATTAAGCAGCACAACTGTTTCCAACATTGATAACAAATCAGCATATTAGAATGATTTCTGAAGGATCATGTGACACTGAAGACTGGAGTAATGATGCTGAAAATTCAGCTTTGATAACAGCAATAGATTATATTTGAAAGTATATTAAAATAGAAAACCTATTTTAAATTGCAATAATATTTCACAAAATTACAGTTTTTTTGGTTTAAATAGATACAGCCTTGATGAGCATAAGAAACTTCTTTAAAAACATTTGAACGGCAGTGTATATAAATATAATACATTCATACATGTTTAGTGGTAGCTTATTGTATGACTTAAAATTGTTTATATTAATTTACATTAAAATAATCTAACTTACAATTCTGCAAACACATGAATTCAAAGTTTAAACTTGATTTAAGTTTATATAAAAAATGTAAACCCCTATTTCATTGCAAAATGTAATTATCATTAATGAACTATTGTTGTATTAAAGAACAACCAGTTCTTGAAATGTCTGGAATCACAAAAATAATTGTGGTTAATTCTTTTAATATAGTGTCACTCCCAGTTTCTGTTAATAAAAAAAAAGTTGAAAACAAGGAGTTTTGTCATCATTACAGAAGAACATACTGGAGTAAATATTATCATTTATATGAGGGGCTTTTGTATATTGTGTTGGACAGTGGGGGCCCTTTAAGTCCGAGAAGTTGAGAAAACTTCCTTTTATTTATATAGCACATTTCCAAAGCCCAACGACACTTTAATGTCACTTACTACTATTTTTGAAAAAAAAAAAAAAAAAAAAAATTTAATATTTATATTTTAAAATGTATGAATTAAATCTCCAAATACTTTCTGAGAGGCTCTTCATAAGAAAAAAAATAAAAAAATAAAGAAGTGCTGCTTTACCAGTCTCATCAACCGCCTCAATTATTTTCTCCAGTTCATCAGGACAGATGTCTGGACAGTGTGTGAAACCGAAATAGATCAGCAGCCACTGGCCGAGGAAATCTTCACTCTTTGCGGGTTTATTGTTGTGGTCGACGAGTGAGAACAGACCTCCAAGTGCTGCTTTTCCCTTTGTTCTTTTTTTCGACTTTGTTCTTTCTTTCTCAATCACTACAACACCAAAAACACATTAACAACAATGCTCTCATTATGATGTGGAGCATTTGCATATAGTACCAAATCAATGCTGTGTAGGTTAATCACTTTTGCATGCTGTTCAGATGCATAAATCCATGTCCTTACTTTCCTCCTTTTCTCTCTTGAAGAATTTCATCCCTAGAAGAAGACCTCCAAACGCAAATGTGATAGCAAGAGACTTCCATGTAACTGGCTGTAAAGGGGGGGGCTCACTCATAAGGTTTGTTTATTTATTTGTTTGTTTGCTTATATATTTATTTTTGTGAAATGGTCTTTTGTGCTATGCAAAGTTTGTGCAATAAAGTAAAATCATAGTTAACAATTACTTGTTTACATAGGATATATAGGCCTATATGCACTGTAAAATCCAATAGTTTACCTTACTTAGATTTAATTAGTTATCTTTACTTAGTTGTTATACTTACTATGTTTTATTAAGTTACAGCTACTTTCAAAGCAAATAAAACATTTTACTTACTGTTTTGAGTGAAACTTACTTAAAATATTAAAGTAGCCACAAAGGAACCAATGACATTAATAAAGCAGTGAGAGACAGCAGTGCACTAATATGTTGCTAATGTGCAACATAACAACAGAAGAAGAAGAAAAGAAAAAGAGTCTTAATAGACTTTTCACCCATTTCTTCCATGTCTGCAGCGTTATCTTTCACTAGTTGCATTCACTCGTTTCCCAAAGTCATCTTGAATGTTGAATTCTCAATACAACTGAAATATTTGAAAGAACATCACATAAGCTTAACTTCATAAATTGATGTTGATTTTCCTCCAATGTGTTTTTTTTTTAACTCACCATTATAGTGATTAGCGTTCCCTTTGGTTGGGCACTTGGAACTTCGTTTATGTTTCTATAATTTTCTTCTTGATAATGCAGTAATGCATCATGAAGTCAGAGTTATTTGGTTTCAAGAGAAGAAAAGTAATAACTAGGTTGCTTTTAGAAGGTGACCTATCTTCTAATTAAAGCATTAGTGAATTTATTGTGTGTATTAATTAATAAACGTTTTCAGATTTCGTTTTTCATAAATACGTTGAGATGAATTTAATTGGGTTTATGTAATTCTTAAATCATATGTGGTAACATGCTAAAGTCACACCCAGACTTAAACGTTCAGCACGTGAATCACAACAATGGAAACAATTCAATTTCATTTATTTTCATTAATTGTAACAATAACCATTTTATTTGCTCTTTTTGTTGTGCTACTACTGACACAAGACAGCAAATAAAATTGGCAAATAAAATCAACAACTGTAAAACAAAGCAACTGCATAATTTATTCATGCCGCAATGCACTCTGGGAGTCAGTGAGTAGCTATACTAAGTCATGAGTAAACCTAAATGAAAGGATCAAGTACCCCCTACAGTTCTTTTTTAGTTACTAGAACTCTTGTGTAAGTAAACTATACTAACTAAGCATTTGTCAGTACAACACACTATTCCTATTTCACTTTACTTAGTTTTTTCAAGGCAATCGGTTTGCATGCTTTTTTTAAGTAAGCCCAACTAATTAGATTTTACAGTGTGTATTTTATATTATTTGGGCACTTATAGGCTATAGTTAATTCAACATGCCATGGGAAGTCAATCTAACTTAACATTTTCTTATATTGATATTGTTTATTTCTTACTCCTTAACAGTTCATCAGGCTCTTAATGATTTAATCTATGCAATATTTTGGAATATCTGAAGGCCATGTACCATATTCATAACTGTATAGCATTTGTTATAATAAGACTAGCCTATTAATCATTACCAGGCCAATAACGACTTTTTTAATTAATCAATATAGCATTTGTTATGAAGAAACAATGCCACAGTTGTATTAAAAAATCTATAGGGAAAAATCTATTCCCTTAACAGATCATCTAATATAAATTCTACAACAAGTTAGACTAAATTTTACATAATAAATAAGCCTACAATACAACGTGATAAATTCTAGTAAAGGTGGCCATGACTCATGAGTAGTTTAAAAAGATTTTAATGTTAGTGCTGGTTCAAGACTCATCATCAGGCTTTTTAGTTTGCCTTTTTTAGATATACTGTTCGACTTTCTCCATAGCATTTTAAAGTGGCTGTTTCTCTAAACAGTTCAAATAGATCACATATTTGACCATCAACTTCGCGATAGGAATGGCTCGCGCAAATCTCATCACACTTCTCTCGCGCGCTGGTGAACGCACAGTGACCCGCGCGCCGCTCATGAGCTGCGCTTCAGTCATAATTCATAAGTCATAACTCCGTTCAGTTCGTACTTTGCATTATCAGCCACAAGAGGTCACTGGAGCTTGAGTTTTAGTGCCGACGTCATATTTGTGCGACACTTACATGAACACATGCACCATGCGTGTAAAAGATAGAGGTATGTGAAGTAATACGTATGCTTTTAATATTAGTTATATTGTTCACGAGAAGTTGAAAACATCGTGGGTTGTCATGGCTGGAAACACGCTGCCGTTTAAATCAAAGTAAGTGTAGTTTTCTTCGATTTTGACTCTTCTCAGTGGGAAAGATTCTTTAAAGTGTGCAGAACTTACAGTGACTAGTTGAGATGCCTGTTAACTACCTTATTTGACAACAAGTTAATGATCATCTCATTTGTTTGTTTAGTTATGCAGTCTCCAGCAAAATAGAACCGTTCTATAAGGGAGGTAAAGTGCAGGTAAGTTCATAATTTAGTACTTGAAAATCATATTATTAGGTCCGTGAATTACAGCTATTATTTGACTTGTTTTGTTTTGTTTCTCCATCCAGATAAGTCAGGATGAGCAGTACATATTTTGCACATGTGGTCCAAGAGTCAACATTTTACAGATCGATACTGGAAAAATTATCCATAGCATTGAGCAGGTCAGTGTCTTACAGTTTTGTTTTATATGTGTGTTTCTTGAACTATGGGCAAAAATAACTCCCTTAAACCCCCCCCCCTTCGTTTATTTAGTTTGTCTAAAAACAGCAAACACACCCATCACAGGAGAACTTTGCCTTTTTAAAATAAATAAATAAATAAAATTGAAATATAAATATTGAAATAATTAATGAGTGTTTAGATTTTCCTCCAGACTTTCTTCCATAAAACGTCGTCTTTTTAGACTACTGGAAAGAAAACATCCAAAATACAAATTTAGGTGTTTATTGTATTACACTTTATCTATTTGCATCAGCAGATTTAAAGGCTATTAATGAAATAAAAGGCCATTTAAGTGTACTTTAATGACTATGTTTCTTATAGTTAGTAGAATGTCTAAAGTGGACTTAACGTGTAATGATAAAATACAAAATAAAGTGTATTTTTACACATGGTGGATTTTTTTAATGGCTGACAAAAAGAGATCAAATCCCCAAATCTCCTCCATAAAGACTCTAATATTTCAACAAAATGAAACAAGAACTTTGAACCTAGCTTTATCAAACGTTAAGATTTATATTCTGGAAATGTATGCAAACAAGTGATTTAATTAGAAATGGCCTTACTTTTATATTAACACATCATTTCAGGAAACTTGTAGTACAAAACCGTTATCTTAATGTATTGTGATTAATCAACTGGGGAAGATATGGTGAAATCTGTCAGTTAAACCTTTTACCATAATTATCTTTAGTTTCTTGCTTTAAATGTAGTAATATTTTTATAATGTATTTTGTCTGGGTCTGAGATGAGGGTAAAACAGTAAAATACATAAATATGGCCTTTAAAAAAAATAGCAGAGCGATTAAGTGTTGGTATTAAGCTTTATTTGTGAACTTTATGTAATGAAAATAAAAATGTGAACTATTTAGTTTTAACAAAAATCAACCCCTGGGATGCAAAAGTGCCCAAAACTGAAGAAGCGCTCATATCTGAAACATGACTGCGTATGGTTGCCTGTATTTCTCACTTTTGCTTTCTCTGAGCAGGATGATCAAGAGGACATCACCTCATTCTCTCTCAGTCCTGATGATGAGGTGAGATGAGCTTGGTTTGCCTGTCTGCTGGTTCAGCATTAATCCAGACTGAGGTTGTTTCTGCTGTTTCTCTGCAGATTCTGGTGACCGCCAGCAGGGCTCTGCTCCTGAAGCAGTGGGACTGGAAGCAGGAGAAGTGCACTCGGTCGTGGAGGGCCATCCACAATGTGCCTGTGGCCAGCATGACCTTTGACTGCACCTCCACCCTGCTGGCTACAGGTCAAACACAAGATCACCAGATCTTTGATGCATTGAGTAACACTAAACAACAGTTTTGGTGTCAGACATATTCTTAATAGGGCGAAATGTTATACTTATATATATATATATATATATATATATATTGATTATTTTTCTCAGCAATATCCTTGTGAAAAAGGACACTTTATAATACTTTACAAAGAGTAATTATGGAAATAATATATTTAAAATATATATACTGTATAAGTTAGGGATGTTCATTTCGGTTATTTTTCCTAACCGACAACCGACACTCATTAACCGATTATTAACCGTTAACCGACAAGATTATTTTAAATTAAAATTTAATTAAATTAGAAAGGATACGTGTCTGTGACCCGTTAAAAAATACTAACATTTGTTTCCCAGGGATTAAGTAGCGTATTTCAACCATGCAGCAAACCGTTTAAAATATTTTGATAAATTACTAAAAAAAAAAAAAAAAGACTTTTTAAACCGATTAACTTATTGTATTAATCGGTCAAAATTCTTCACGGTCGGTTAATGGTTAAGCGGTTAAAATGAACATCCCTAGTATAAGTGCAACTTAATGTAAAGTTTTAGACACTTAATTGATAGTGAACTTAAATGTTAGTTGCAATTAAATAAGTGTATTTATAAAATGCAAGTAAATGTAATTTGCTGAACTTTAGAGTGCTTTTAAGTAGGACTTTTTTTATACGTACTTCTGTTTTCTTTGAAATATGTTTAAAGCGTACTGCTGAATGTACAGACAAGCATTTATGATAAATTAAAATATGCTTTAATGTCATTTCTATTGAAACTTGTAAGTTATGTATTTGAATATATTTGTAATTACGCATTTGTAATGATAAAGTTGCAATTTAGTAAATATATTAACTTCATATGTGACCCTGGAGCACAAAACCAGTCATAAGTCGCTGGGGTATATTTGTAGCAATAGCCAACAATATATTGTTTGGGTCAAAATTATCGTATTATCGTAAAAATCATTAGGATATTAAGTAAAGATCATATTCCATGAAGATATTTTGTAAATTACCTACTGTAAATATATCAAAACTTAATTTTTGATTAGTAATATGCATTGCTAAGAACTTAATTTGGACAACTTTAAAGGCGATTTTCTCAATATTTTGCAATATTTTTTGCACCCTCTGATTCCAGATTTTCAAATAGTTGTATCTCGGCCACATATTGTCCTATCCTAACAAACCATACATCAATGGAAAGCTTATTTATTCAACATTCAGATGTTTTCAGATGATGTATAAATCTTAATTTAAAAAAATGGACCTTTATGACTGGTTTTGTGGTCCAGGGTCACAAATGTTATATCGAATAACACACTACAGTTAAAATTATCATAAAGTATTTTACATGTGCTTTAGTATGTTAGTCAGCATAAGTGTACTACAAAAGATTATTAAAACATAAAGATTTAAAATGTACTTTAAAGTAAAACTTTCAGTTCAACATTATTACAAAGTGCACTTAAAAGTATGTTAAGAAATGTGAAAGTGTCTTGTTAAGTGCACTTAAATGGCTTTTATTTAATTAATATTATATTAACTGTAAGTAAATTTTTTTAAATTACTGTTCTGATTAGTGCACATTCAATACAATTAAGCATGCTTCTTTTTCACGATGATTTGTTGTTGTGTTCATAGGTGGTTGTGATGGCACCATCAAGCTGTGGGATGTTGTGAAGCAGTACTGCACACACAATCTGAAAGGATCATCTGGCGTTGTACAGTAAGTACTGAAGAAACTTCCAAAATTGAATCTGCTTTGAGATCGTCTCCCAGTTTGTCAAACTGGCCCAGCTGGTTGATATGCCATCTATAAGAGCTGCAACGTCTCTCTTCCAGTTTGGTCGAGTTTCATCCAGACATCAGCAGACTGCAGCTCTTCTCTTCTTCTGTGGACTGTGGGATCCGGATCTGGGACCTGAGGACCAGCAAGTGTATCTGTGTTTTGGAGAGCCACTACAGTGCCGTCACATCGCTGGCCTTCTCTCCTGATGGCCAAACTCTAATTAGGTAAAACGGCAGAAAAAAAGCAATTGTTTCCTTGTAAAAGTCCAATTTTAACACTGTCTTCGTTTTCAGTTCTGGCCGAGACAAAATCTGCTCGGTTTGGGACCTGAAGAAGAAGGCTGTTAAGAGGACTGTCCCTGTCTATGAGGTCAGACTGTGACTGTGACCCATGAGCTGTGCATTTATCTTTATAGCACCACAACTATTATCTGTGTTTCATACCTTAACAAGCAGATGAGTCTGGAAATACAGCATTGTTATTTCACATGGAGTTCTCTTATTTGTCGATGTTCAGGCTGTGGAAGGTGTTGTTGTTCTCCCTGGGAAGAGCGATTACTCTCAGATGGGTGTGAAGGGTGAAGGTTTACACTTTGTCACGGCTGGCAGTAAAGGTAAATGCTGTAGTTCAAATCAGAATCCAGTTTAATATGAAATGCTATATTGTAAACTCATAAAAGCAGGACCAATTAGGGGTGCATCTACCAATTGTTGAGGCAGTAACAGTGTTATTTTTGTATCATTTATATGCTATTATAATATATATTAATATTTATTATGTGCTTTTGTCATTTTTATTTTTTATAATTCTATTTAATTTGTTTCTAATTTTATTTATTTTTACTTTAACTTGTTTATTTAAGCTAGCTACCAAAGCAACATTTCAATTTTTTTAGTTAGTTAAAGTTGAAGGTATTCATTGTAATATTTATGTTTACATTTTTTTAAATGTATATCTATTTTTTATTTCATGGATTTTCATTGTTGAAGTTTAAGATTCAGTTTTAATTATCTATAATAACACTAGCAAGTATGCAACATTTTTTTGGTCAAACCACCTCAACACAGCCAAAAAAAAAAAAAAGAAAAGTACAAAATATTAATACCATATTGGTTTTTGACCAATATTATTTTTTATTTATTTTGGATAGTCCATTTTTATGCACATTTCCCATATTTTTACATTTAGACCTTTGCCATCATCTAATGCCCACTTAAACCTAATCTTTAAAAACACTATTAATTTAATAAAACTGTTAAATGTAATCTTAAGCAAATCTCAAAATGATCTGTTTTCATACTGTGCATAACACTGTGATGCCTGACAATTCACATGTAGCATTTAAAATTATTGATTGATTAGTATTAATTGCTGCATGTAGTTGAAAATATTTTTTGGATGTTGTTTTGAAAACAAAATAAACATTTTTGGATTACTGATTCAGGTTTTGATGTTAATGACACGGAACACTGAGACATAATTTATATCTTATTAGAAATTTTAAAAAAGTCAAAATAAATAATACAAAAATGCATACAAACCCATAAAAAAAAACATTTATTTAAAAAATATTATCATTTAAATATGTAAAATGTTTTGGTTATTTGTAGGCTTTTTTTAGTCATTCATAAAAAAATGATTTTGGTGCTGTATTATGCACCGCATATGTTGAATACTCTCTACCTGGCCCTGAGTATTTAGCTGTTTTCCGCAGGTGTTCTTCGAGTGTGGGACTCCAGCTCAGCGCGCTGTGTGTTCACTCAGACGCTGCCTGATGCTCCGGCTCTCAACACAGAGGAGGCCGATTTAGACCCGCGCAGTCTGATGCATCTTCTGCCCATGCCACAGTCCAACAGACTGGCCACCGTCACCGCAGAGCACAACATCCTCATCTATCAGATGCCTGCTCTCACTGTACAGCAGCAGGTGAGCCTTACAATCCACCTTCTACACACTGTAGATATAACCTGAACTTAATACATATCGGAACCTGGAGCTATTGGGCTTGTTTTTCTCTTCTTATGAAGTTTGTCGGCTACAATGATGATATCCTGGATGTGAAGTTCCTGGGGAAGGATGACACACACATAGTTGTGGCCACTAACAGCTCTCAGCTGAAGGTGTTTGAGTTGGCCACTAACAGCTGTCAGATTCTGTATGGACACACAGGTGAGTGAGCCACTAGAGGGCGGCAGCACTGTGGATATGTTACGCCACTTGTTTATGGTGTTTCCCACAGTGTATGTTATCATTACCTTCATATCTATAAATGAAATTCATGCGAAGCTTTCACTGAGTGACAGTGAAAAGATTAGACAAAAATATTCATTTTTATCACATATTTGTTCTTCAATGAGATTTAAAAAGGAGTAGTGTTGTTATTAACTAAAACAATAAAATATAATTTTCTGCAATTGAAACAAAGCTGAAATGAAATAAAATATAAATATTGGATGAAAAAAATTAGAAGTCTAATCTTAATCAAATCTAAAATAATTTTTACTATAACTAATTACTATAATGCTAACACTAAACCAGAAATAACGTTGGTTAAACGTATATTTAGAAAAAATACATAACATAAGAAAATTACTAAAACTAATTAAAATTATATAAATATAATGATAATTCTATTAAAAATGCAGCAAAGCTATTTTTTTAAATAGGTTTTGTTTGCACATTGTTTTGCGGAAATTATCAGGCAGGAAGTAATATAAATAGTATTCTTTATAAGCCTGATAGTTGTGTTTTTTATTTAATTCATGAAAGAAACATTGTTATTTGCAGCCCTACATCCCAGGCATGTAAAACACATTTGTTTTCTCACTTAGGTCCTGTAGAAACAACTGTCTGTAAAACTTTAAAAAGGGAATGTCAGACTGGATTCCACTTCAGTCATCAGTCTGCATTGTTGACATTGTCAGCACTCAATTATCTTTAAATCATCTGACAATCTTCTCTGATAATCTGTCTGCAGATACCATCTTATCAATCGATGTCTTCCGCAAAGGTTCCATGTTTGCAAGCTGTGCAAAGGTGCTTCTTTCACGTTTTCATGAAAAGCTGCACCAGTGGCCTAGCACGCCATTCAAAACGTCAGATTTTGAATGTACAGCTTCGCCCACATTTGGAAAGATGACGTTTATGTAATCTTTTGCACAGGACAAGTCCCTGCGGCTGTGGAAAATGGATCTGAAGAGTGGCCACGTGCACTGCGTGGCTCAGGGCAGCGGACACTCCAATGCCGTGGGCTCTGTCGCCTGCTCCAGGTCTGATCTCCGTTAGAAATAGCAGTTAGATAAGCAATATCAGTTAAGACACTGCAGTGTGTGATCATACTGTAGCTCTGTCCTCAAACTCTGAAAAGTCCTTGTTTCCTGAATGATTGACACACTTTTTACTAAGCTGATAACACGGTCACATTTAGATCAGTAATTGTGACATTCCTGATCATAATAACCTATTCTAATATAGTTCACGAACTTGATTTTGTAACCGTTTACTGGTTTGTAAGGTTTTCTAACACATTTGTCACTTTATATTATGTGAACATAAAAACTGTTCAAATAAGTACACCATTTTCCTCTTCCTGTACCAGTGTTATTTTAGTATTGAGATCCTGTTATAATTTTTTATTATTTTGAATAATTTTTATATTTTAAATGTAACATTTGTTTTAGTAATTTTTTTGTATTTTTTATGTCTATACAGTTTTTATTAGGGATGCACCGATGTATCGGCCACCGATATTTATCGGCCGATTTTTCCACAAATTACAACCATCGGCATATCAGCTATATAAAGAAAAAGGCCGATATAACAAACCGATGGTTTATTAATTAACTGCGTGAAGGCACTGAGCTGTATAATGTCTGTTGCATAATCCTAGCGCTGCTGTCTGCACTTTAATACTAATCAAATAACAAAAGACAAAAGATCGCACAGTATTCTTGACTAAATAACTTTTGTAACTGTAGTTGTAAGTGTAGCGGACCTCATCTGAATGATGACCAAAACTTTATTGATGTTTTAAGTTTATTGCGTCCTTTTTCACTCCAAAAATATCACCATAAGAGCTAAACAAAACACAGCACGAGAAGTGCACATTAAACTCTCTCTCTCAGTTGCATTAGCATCAACATACAGCGAATTACACAAAACACTTATTACAACTAACAGTAAACAAATATATACAAATCTCATGCCTTTTCGGGGGTGCTTAATAAACTAACAAACTTTAAATCCGAAGAACTGCGTGCTTTCATTACCCATATAGCTCAGTAGACTAGAAAACCCGTCAAAATAAGAGTCCCGCCTTAGTAATTATAATAATAATACATATTTAAACTTACGAAAAATATTAAAATGTATACAAAAACAAATTAGAAGATTAATCATAATAAAGTCTGTTACAATAAAGAAGGATTAATATGTATTTAATTTATACAGTGAAGTGTTATTTTACATTTGTTTACTTTATTTCTGTACCTGAAAACTGTTAAACCTACCTAAAAAGCAACGTTTATTTAATATGTATCTTTGTTCTGTTGTATTTATGTAGGCCTGCTGAATGTTAAATGGATCCAATCCATGTTCATTAGAAATTATTTGATGATGCAGCAATAAAACTGCTAGTATAATTTAATGCAGGTGTTTTTGAACTTTGCTGATTTAAAACATGATCAAAATACTATCTATTTTGATGCCAAAATTTCAAATAAGAGAGGAAGTGACAAATATCGGTATCGGAATCGGCCAATAAGTGTTTGTTAAAATCGGTATCGGTATCGGCCCCAAAAAATCCTATCGGTGCATCCCTAGTTTGTATAATTTTTTTATTTATTTCAGTTTTAGTTTTTTAGAACATAAAGTTCAACTAAAAAAGAGAAATGTTGCATTGGCACTTTATTGGCTTAAATAAAGTGTAATAATTGTATTTTGTTTCAGTTAACGTTTCAGTTTGACTTTAAATTTGAAACAGTGATCTGAATTAGATGTTTTTGAACTGATTTATTTACATAAATGTTTACATTAAATATCACAAATATACAAAATAAAAACGAACAATTCCACCAATAAAAATAGGAAACATGGTGATTTACAGTAGCATGCAACTTATATGTGACCCTGGAGCACAAAACCACTCTTAAGTCGCTGGGGTATATTTGTAGCAATAGCCAAAAATACATTGTATGGGTTAAAATTATTGATTTTTCTTTTATGCCAAAAATCATTAGGATATTAAGTAAAGATCATGTTCTATGAAGATATTTAGTCCATTTCCTGCTGTAAATATATTAAAACTTAATTTTTGATTAGTAATGTACATTGCTAATAACTTCATTTGGACAACTTTAAAGGCGATTTTATCAATATTTTGGATTTTTTTTGCACCCTCAGATTCCAGTTTTTCAAAAAGTTGTATCTCGGCCAAATATTGTCCTATCCTAACAAACCATACACCAATGGAAAGCTTATTTATTCAGCTTTCAGATGATGTATAAATCTCAATTTCGAGAAATTGACCCTTATGACTGTGTTGTTTTGTGGTCCATGGTCACATATTACTTTGTGAACTGTTTGTTTTTTTACTGGTTTTAGTTAAACCTGTTAACTAATAATATAATGACCCTGTTGCTGGACGCAGGTTAAAGAAAGGCTTCCTGGTGTCGGGCAGTCAGGACTGTACTATTAAGATGTGGGATCTGCCTGACCCTCTTCCTGATGTGGGATGTGAACCGGTCTTGATGACGGCACGACTCACAGAGAGAGCTCATGACAAGGTGGGTCGTTGCCCCGTCAAGTACTAAGCGTTCAATGAAACTGTCAGATGAAACGTGGATGAAAACATGTTTATCTGGTTGCAGAAATAGTTTTGACAGCAGAAACTATGCTCTTGAGCACGTTCTGCTGCTTTAGTTTTTCAGTCTTCCATATTTGTATTGTCTTTGACGTTTTTTGTGCGCCCACTGCATCAAAACGGTGTTTAGGAAAATGTGTAACCATAATTCATCTTTTGCTGATAGCAAGACCCAAACAGTTTTGTCCAGTGTTGTGAAAGATGTTAGAATACAGTTAGGCTTTTTAAAAATGTGTGTGTGTGTGTGTGTGTGTGTGTGTGTGTGTGTGTATGTGTGCGTGTAGGCATTTTGGACTGATTTATTTACATAAATATTTCCCACCATTACACAAAGGTTACACTAAGTACCAACAAGACAAAAATGGGAAACATAGTAATTAACAGCAGCATTTAACATATTATAATATTTTGTGAACTTTTTGTAATACATGCTATTATTTGTTTAAATTTAATCTACAAAGTATTTTGTAGATTGCTGCATGAAAGATTGTATAGAAAACTGCACATAATTTTTTTTTACTGTATATCTATACTACCATTCAAAAGGTTGGAGTTGGTAAGATTTGTTCAATGCTTTTGAAAAAAGTGTCTTATGCTCAGCAAGGCTGCAATAATTTGATCAAAAATACAAAATAATATTGTGAAAAAGTATTACAATTTAAAATAACTGCTTTCTATTTTAATATATTTTAAAATGTAATTTATTCCTTTGATGCAAAGCTGAATTTTCAGCATCATTTCTCCAGTCTTCGGTGTTACATTATCCTTCAGAAATCATTCTGATATGTTGATTTCCCCAAAAAAAGTTTATTTGAAATATAATTCTTTATAAACATTATACGTCTTTACTGTGACTTTTGATCAGTTGAATGTGTCCTTGCTGAATAAAACTTAATTTCTTTAAACAAAACAAAAAATAAATAAATAAATACAAAATAATAATAAAGCCTCACTAAAATGAATCAAACTTCTCAATGTTTAGGCGAATGCGTTTTGATTATTACCTTACATCCAGTACAATATGACAAGCATTGTCACAGCATTGTAGTATTTTATAGTGGAACAAAAATGAAGTTATGTTATTAGTGTCACTACTTATAATCCATTACTCCCCAGTTTTCCTTAAATGTCATTTTATTTTTCATCGTCCCCTCTTCTGTTGCCCGTCTCTTCCTCGAACATTCTTGTAGGATGTGAACAGCGTGACCATCTCTCCCAATGACAAGCTGCTGGCCTCTGGCTCTCAGGATCGCACGGCTAAACTCTGGTCACTGGCAGATATGAGTCTGTTAGGCATCTTCAGAGGTCATAGTCGAGGTGTTTGGTGTGTCCAGTTCTCTCCTGTGGACCAGGTCCTGGCCACGGCCTCAGCGGACGGCTCCATCAAAATCTGGAGCATTCAAGAATTCAGCTGCCTCAGGGTGAGTTACACGTACATGTTTAAAGAGCTGTTTTGATAACTTTGATATGTGAATTCTAGAGAGTATTTAGTCACACTTTATTTAAGGTCCAATTCTCGCCATTAACAAACCATTAACTATGACTTTTGCCTTAATAAACTCCTAATTTGCTGCTCATTAATAGTTAGTAAGGTAGTTGTTAAGTTTAGGTGTTGGGTTGGTTTAGGGATGTAGAAAATGTGCTTTATAACTACTAACAAACCACCAATATGTTAATAATAGACATGCTAATAAGCAACTAGTTAATAGTGAGAATTGGTCCCTACGCTAAAGTGTTACCTAGTATTTTTCCCATTCAATTTTTTCTTGTAAGGTAAGGATTTAAAAAAAAAAACTCTGTTAAATTGTTACAAGCCATGAACCAAGCCAACAAGTAAAGAGGTTAATCACAACATTACTAACTTTGATTTAAAGCCAACTAATTGAAAATCAAACAAAAAGATATAGGACTGTGTACTCGTAGCTTTAAAGAGGGAAAGAACTACAATCCCATGAAGCATTGCAAGTTAAAAACTTTTAAAAAATTTAAAAGAAATATAAAACTGTTGATTTAATTTGGTCAATTATGTATATAGAAACAACATTGTACATTTATTGCAAAATATGCACATATTTACAAATATTTAAGTAGTATGAGAGTGTAAGGGAAACTGATTCTACATTAATCATAGTGCTTCATGTTGGTGGTCGGGCCTTAAAGAGTTTGCTGTGATTTCAGTTCTCTGATTGGTGGAGATTGTCTGCAGAATTATGGTTAATGCAGTTTTTCACCAGGAATTCTGCTGTTAAACATGATTATTTAAAGGGGTCATCGGATGCCCATTTTTGCCCACAAGTTGATATGATTCCTTTGGGTATTAATGATAAGTCTAACATACTTTGGTTAAAATTTCTCAATGGTAGTGTAAAACAATGTGCATGTCCCTTTAAATGTTAATGAGCTGTGCTCACCCCGCCCCTCTCTTCTGTGGGGTGATGAGCCATTCTGAGACTGTAAACTTTTAGCCGCATTCATCGCAAAACTTGCTAACTAGCACGTTATTAGGAAAGGCGATTTGCAAAGATTCATAAAAGAACCTTATACTCAATTCTTCTGTAGGTGAAGCTGGATTTAGAATAATTCACGTGAACATAAACACATTTAGGTAGAATGGGGAGCGCATTCCCTTCAAAAACAAATGTAATCCACTGCGTCTTCAGCGGCTCAGATGTCGGCAGTAAATGATGACTGCTTTTTGTGTAAAATGCACTGATGAATCATTGGGGACCAGGAGCAAGTATCAGGAAAGAAAAGGGGGTACATTTTTAATTTGTGTTGACATCACTGAGAGAAACCATGAGAAACCAAACTGTATTTCAATTGCTGAAAATTAAAGGGATTGTTCACCCAAAAATGCAAATTACCCCTTGATTTGCTCACCCTCAAGCCACCCTAGGTGTATATGACTTTCTTCTTTCAGATGAATACAATCAGAATTATATAAAAAAATGTTGAGAATGAGAATGGTGGTTGAAATTTTGAAGCCCAAAAAATTGCACCCATCCTTCGTTAAAAAGTTGGGGTTAATAAAGGCCTCCTGAAGCGAGTTGATGCATTTCTGTAAGAAAAATATCCATATTTAAAACTTTATAACCGTAATCTCTAGCTCCAGTGGATGATGTAGGCGTAGCATAAGCTCCGGTGAGAATATGCTAGTGTCGCGAGAACCAAGTTTTGTTTACAGAAAAAGAAAACAAGTCTACTCTTAGCTTATATCGAAATCCTCCGACATCTGTCTTTACAAATCCTCATTTTGTACTTCTAATTTGTGACGGGGGTTTTGTTTTGCTTTCTCCTCTGCGCTTCCGCGTTCGTCACTTCTCACCGGAGTTTACGCTAATCCTACGTCCTGCATCATCCGCTGGAACGCTACCCTCTCCTGAACACATGTAAGACATTTAGCGGAAGCTAGAGATTACGTTTTAAAGTTTTAAAGGTGCTGTATGTAGGATTGACACCGAGTGGTTGAACTAGGTATTGTAGTCCAAATTGAAAATATTGGAGAGGGTTTTTTTCACCTGGCCTCTCCTCCTCATACTTGACGCACACGCTGGTTGCCAGATTGACGACGCCAACAAGAACGAGCGCACTTGACGATGAATGAAATGAAATGCGCTGTGTTTTCCACCAACTGGCAACCTGGGGTGCCGAAATACCCAAATTTATACCCAATTGGGTAAACTGGCAGTGGGCGGGTTTTACAAACCAAAACAGACCTGCATTCCGGCCCGGAACACACATTTTCAAAGGAGAATAACTGACTGTAGCATTGTTTTTCAGATAAACAAGTATCTTAACTTTTTTTTAAATATCTGCAAACATATTATGGTATTTTTATGCTTTAGTAGAGTCAAAAACTTACATACAGCACCTTTAAATATGGATATTATTCTTACGCAAACACATCGGTTCACTTCAGAAGGCCTTCATTAACCCCTCAGAGCTGTGTGGAGCACTTTTTATAATGGATGGATGCTTTTTTTGGGCTTCAAAAACTCCAGTCACTGCCATTTATAAAGTTTGGAAGAGCCAGGACATTTTTTTTAAAATAACTCTGATTGTATTCATCTGAAAGAAGAAGGTCATACACACCAAGGATGGATTGAGGGTGAGCAAATCATAGGGTAATTTTAATTTTGGGGTGAACTATCCCTTTAACATTGGCATTCTGTTCAAACCGTTAAATATTGCATTAAAATAATTTCTGTGTTTTATCTCTGCAGACGTTTGAGGGACATGATGCCTCTGTGCTAAAGGTCATATTTGTCAGTCGAGGAACTCAACTAGTGTCTAGGTTGGTTATCTATTTCCTTACATTTTCTGACCGCGGTTCAATCGGTTCACATGGACTGTGTTCATCTATGTAAACTTTCACTTTCATGAGAACTGTTTGCAGATTTTTAGGATGTTTGCAGTCTTTCACTGAAGTTGAGCTTGTGGTTCATAGACTGCAGCTTTGCCCTAGTGACCCGGCTTTATTTCTCTGTCATTCTTCAGTGGTTCTGATGGACTTGTGAAGTTGTGGACCATAAAAACAAACGAGTGTGTGAAAACATTTGATGCTCACCAGGACAAAGTGTGGGCTCTGCATGGCAGCAGCAAAGATGACCTGATGGTGACGGGATCAGCTGACTCCACCATCACACTGTGGAAGGTCAGTCCACCTGACATATCCTACCTGAGCAGTGTGCTAAAACACCGTTAAACACAGGAATGTGAAATGAAACAAAGCAAACTGTGTTTTGTGCTGCATGTGATACATGCGATCATTAATGTTTCCCTTACCAAGACAAAAGGACCATTGTTTACCCTGTGGCACTGTTCATTATAATTAATACATTGCAATAAAGCCAACAACACACACAAAAATGTAGGCCATGTTTATGATTTACTAATTCAGATGTTGTCTGATTAACTCCCATAAAAATACCTATTTTTTGGGCCAAGTAGGTCAGCAGGTTAATAACAGATGTTTTACTGCCAGTGCGTTACAGCATGAATCTGCTGCAGTGATATATCCATGCTGAATACTTTTACTTTACTTTACTTTTAGTCATTTAGCAGACGCTTTTATCCAAAGCGACTTACAAATAAGAAAAAGTAATTAAAACTCAAAGCTAAAACTCTATAAATACTATGTGTATATATATATATATATATATATATACACACATTTAAGAAAATACGAGAAATTAAATAATGACAAATGCATACAACATTTCAAAACTAAACATTTAAATGAAAACAAAAAAAATAAAGCTAAAAACAATTAAAACATACACAAATAAGAAAAAGTAATTAAAACGAAAAGCTAAAAGCTTTTAAGAAAATAAAAGAAATTAA